AGACATACCATTACAGTTTCATGATCTGGACCCACCATTACTAGTCATCCAAAAGGAATACTATATCGTAATCCAGTACGAAATTCATACATCAAAAACCGATAGTGTCATGGAATAGAACTCTTGTAACATGCATAAAAATTCACAAAATTTTTAACTTTTCAAAATCAACCCAAGTTCATAAGTTGTTTGCAAAAACATCTAAACCGATACTGTTCACAAATTGTTTTCAAAATCAACCAATATCAGAGTTTTCCCAGATATCACAAACATAAATCGAGGAAGTGTACGGTCATGCCTTCGCCTTCCCGTAGTCATCTGAAGTACCTGAAACAATAATCCATAAATGTAAGCTCGAAGGCTTAGATAGTTACCCCCAAAATACAACCACCATACAAACCAAAATAATATCATATCAAACGGTATGCATACAGAGTCTAAATTATGACTGGACCGCCCGCACCGTGCCTTCAGTCTATTTGGCCCACTCTTAGAATCGTCAGCATGTCTGGTCCGCCCGTATCAGTCCTACAACCTTTCTAGACCGTTCTTCGAGCCTTTGGCCTAACTGATATGCCCCTAGGGCCTGCAGTCTATCTAGTCCGCCCTGGGTATGTTGGCCTACACCACAAAGCATGTCCTCCTCAACCTAACCCCACATACACAATCAATACATAATATCATTAGCTGGCATATATAACAGTCAAACCGATCTAACAGATCACTATTCATAGCATCATCCTATAAACCAGGATACTGACCTAACAGGTCACTAACATAGCATCATCCTATATACCAGGACACCAACCTAACAACTCACTAGCATATCAACATGCAATAAACCCGGATACAAATCCGAAAAGGGTCGGCAGTGGTACCTTCGACACTGTCAGTATAGTGAGGACAACTCACCTCATAATGTCGGTTGGAACTGGAATGTCAAACTCCCGAGATACGGCTCCAAACACCAACACCTACAACCACCACTAACACACTTGCATAAATATCAAATTTACCAAAATACCCTCAGAAGTCAACTGGTCAACCTTTGGTCAAAGTCAAGGTCAATGGTTAAGGTCAACAGTCCATGTTGCCCCAACTTGTCGAGTGTAGCTCACTGACTCATCGAGTTCCTTCAGAACTCAAGAAATTGTGAAAACCCTAGTTGACTCACCGAGTTTCCAGACAACTCGTCGAGTCCATGTAGTGTCCATAATGTAGGGAAAACCCTAACCAACTTGTCGAGTTACCTCTTTAACTCGTTGAATTCATGCAGAATCCAAAAGATGGGAAAACCTGCCTCAACTCATTGAGTTGGCTATCCAACTAGTCGAGTCCTTTTAGTCCATTTCTCGTTCAGATGCTTTTATGTGAAACCAAAGCTCCAAACTGTAGATCTAAGCTCCTAGGGTGTTGTTTTCATGTAATGTTGCTAACTTTACGTGCATGCAGAGCTCAATGAAGTTAAAACACTCATACTAGCCTTAGAAGAAGGTTTTGAACATGAAGGAGGGCAAAAGTTTCATAAAGATTGAGGCTTTACGTCCATAAGGGCCTAGAGGACTCCATATCTGAAACCATGCCCTTGTGACAAGATCAAATACGAAAGAGACCCCATTTTGTAACAAAATGCCCATTTTCTCACATAAGAAGAGATCTAACAAATGGAAGGTCAAGGTAAGGACTTTTTCCTTCAAATGCAATCCAATATGATGTAGATACTAGATCTACAAGCTTCTTCTCATTCCAAGCTTCTTAATCTTCAAGTTTCTTCAACAAATGCCCCAAAAATACAATTTTGCCTCTCACACACTCAAGAATAGGGTTTAGATCGGTTGGGGTTGCTTCTAGTTGTCAAAAGGTGGCGAGGAGTCTAGAGGAAAGGACTTAAGGTCCTTTAAATACAGTACAAACCCTAAAAATTAGGGTTTCATATTCCAGCTCCAACTCATCAAGTTGGGTCCTCCAACTCATCGAGTACATCCCTTAAGTCACGCGGCCATATCCATTTCTACACGACGAGTTGGGGCATCCAACTCATTGAGTAGGACTTTAAATATGAATATAAAGCGGTAAAATTATATCTGGGGGCCAGGATGTTACAACTCCACTCTGCATTCCTATCTCACATGTCCTTAAAATAAGACTACAAAATATCAAACTTAATTTGACTAAGCCTCCTTTATAAATCTTAGTTCAAGATTTAGACTAGACTACAATCCGTGTGAACGATACAAATATTCCTGCCTATGTAATATTTTTACAGTATAGGCTATAACCCCAACTAAGCATCTTGTGTAGGTCTTATCTCATTAATAGGCAAGACTAAAAGGCTTATAATTTAACTTCTAATACTAACATTTTTTAGGCAACACTATCCTAATTTAGTGTATATTTTACACAAAGGATTAGGTACTAATATGGTTTTATCTTTCTCTCTAATAATAGTTCTATTATTATTAATATTATCATAGTTTATATATATATATATATATATATATATATATATATATATATATACACACACACGACAATATCTGGTTCGCATACGTTATATCATCAAATATATTTCTAGCACATATTGTAGGCAATAAAGCATATAGTCGCTGGCATGAACATAATGTTAATGCAAGTACTAAATAAAGTATTAAATATCTATCGGAATATTTAGGAGATATAAGGAGCGCTAAAATCTAACTTCATATGAAGAATTTATGCTTCTTTGAGGTTCCGCGATCAACCCAACTCCAATTTGCGTGTCATAAAAAGTGAATCAAATATAAGTCGTTAAGTAATCTATATGAAAGTTATAGTAATCATAAAAATGAGAATGATCATATAGAGAACACCCATATCTAACTTCGTATGAGGAAGTTATGATTTTCAAAGTTTAAGCACAGTAGTGTGGAAAATGAAATCGAAATTCAAAACGGTTGATGGTTGGCCGAAACAATCCAAATGATATTTGAAGATATCATGAATAGGATTTTGTAAATTTAAAGACAGTCAAGACTAGATGTCGCATGAAAGAGTTATGATTTTTATACAGACCTTAATAGTGTAAGCATATAGAAATATAACTTTAAAAATAAAGTGAGAATTAGCCGACATATTCTAAATAAAAGTTGCAGCACTCATCCATAGCTACGCATGGATACAAAGGATGTAAAAAATGGAGCTCATATGTGAAAGATAGGAATTTGAAAAAAAAAAGTTAATATTTCACGTCTATCGGTAGTGTGTGTGACGCACACTAACAAGTAGATGTGGCCGCCTATGCAGATTTTGATGCGTGTCACTAGGCCAAACGAGCAACATTGACTGTCAGGTACGATGGCCCCAAAAAGATAGCAACTACCACTACTAGAAAAACAGCCTTTTACGACGCTCATTGCGCGTCGTAAAATGCTCATACGACGCATAAAAGCGCGTCAAGAAAGGCCCTGTCATAAAGAGACGACGCGCAAAAAAGAGAGACGACGTGCATTTATAACACGCTTTTACGATGCGCGGTTATGACACGCGATGCATATCAAGGAAGGCCCTGTCATAAAGGAAGACGACATGCATTTGCGTGTCGTAACCTTACGACACGCGTGTTTATGACATGCAATGCGTATCAAGGAAGCCCCTATCAAGAAAGGCCATGTCATAAATGAAGATGACACACATTTTAGCGTATCATAATTTTAAATGTTCTAAAAAACATATTTATATATTTATTATTTTTTAAATTAAATTTGCATTTAATGTCTTATAATAGAAATAAAATATGATATACAAAAAATACAATCCATTGCATAAAATTTAATGCCACACAATTCAATTTCTTACAATATCTAAATTTGCATCTAATATACTACGTATATCAAATTCCAACTAAGTAAAGTTGCATCTTGCCTTTCATAATTCTTTAAGACTAATGCTCCAAGCAGCTGATTATATGGATAAGCAGTGTACATTGTCTCATCTCACTCAAGAATGACTTAGCCAAATTCAACTCCAAGTCTTTACTACATCTTGCTAATAATGCTGCAAGATTTGAATCAAGTGGCTTCATATTCCTTTCTTCCATCAACTTTACCTGATGCACAAAAAACACAGAAACAAAAAAACATTGTGGAGGAAGGGGTAATTTGGGAAAGTTTGAGGGGTATCCTCTGCAAAACAAAACAAAAAATATCATTTGCAAGATTTGCTCTTTAGTATCCTCATCAAAACAATATATATATATATATATATATATATATATATATATATATCAAAAAAATGAAATTTTTTATAGTTTTATATTATAATTATGCCTAGAGTATTGCATACCTGAAGAACTATTTGTTAGCTCTACAACACTTTTTGAATCCGAACCAACACCATGTCTTAACAAATATATGAAGTTTAAAAATGAAGATATACCTTAGATGGTTTTGGACATCCTAATTCCTGCTTAAAAAATCATTTGTTATAAAATAGTATTAGGACTATAAAAACAATATAAGGAAACAGGGATAAATTATGTAGTTAGATTATTATAACTTTTCTGACGTTTTAATAAAACCATTTCTCCGGCTTACCTGGTTTTGATATAAGATTGAAATAAATAAAAGCATAAAGTATTTATCGATTTAGCCACTGAACAATCACTATAATAATCATAAAACAGATAAAAGTTTAGTGGCTTAATCCATGATATAGTGAAAGTGTGTTTTGCTTCTTTTTTTTTTTTTTTTTTTTTTTTTTTTTTTTTTTTGTATTTTAACATTTTCCAAAGCCAAGTAATTGGAGAAATGATTTTCTTAAATGGTCAAAAAGAGTATAATGGTTTAATTACTATAAAATAATAGTTAAGTGGTTAGGTAAACATCATTAAAAGGATGTTTAAAGCTAATAAGATCTTTTGAATCTTAAAAAAAATACTATTTTTTTTTATAGTAGCTTAAATGTTTTAACTACTTACATCAATTTTTTCAGCTATGAGACCATCCTCTTGCCATGGGTTTTTTTTATTGTGGTGGTGTGAGATTCGGAGTTGTTAATAGCTTGAGTGGTTTCCATGGGTGCAACTCCATCCAAACAAAATACATGCTGGAAATAAAAAAAATAATTGTTTTCTAATAACTTAGAAACAGAATCAGGAAGAGTAAACAAACAAAAACTGAAACAACAACACTCTCTACATCAAAACCTTGCATTAATTCCTGTTAAAGAAAAGGGTAAATAAGTCTTTTAGCTAAATAAAGAAAAGTGTTTTACTATTTTTTACCTCTGAAATAATAGCACTCTATACCCATCTTCTAGTGATTGTAGTGACTCATAGTTTCGGTTGCCCATCAAAACTCTGGTATCTGTACCAAAATGACCGTTTTACCCTTACATTCTCAAACAAGCAATTTTAAAGTGGGGAAAAAAGAAAGGTGATTACCTTGTGGTGGTTTGTATATACAACAAGGATCTTTATCACTTGATGATATATCAAAGAAAACAGTCAAATAAGTGTCTTTATCAAGTCCACATAGCTTCCATGATGTGGTGATTTATTGACCTATCACTTTGTTTGCAACAACAGGTCCTTTCTGCAGCATAAATAGCCAAAAAAAATTATATACAAACTGGTAAAGATTAATGAACAATTTAGTAATGACTAAATTTCCACCTTATCCAAAGATGTGCAAGGTCCTATGATCCCCTGAATCTTGATATCCTTTGAACATGTAATTTTAAGTGTGCCACTGAAAGTAATATAATCACAATTCACAAATTCATTATACATTTATAGTTATACATCAAATAATATGATGATGAATGATACTATATTCATCTTATGTACTCATTTATGAGCAAGACCAAGAGACTCTTCTCCTTTCTCAAAAACATGTTTGAATGAATCTTGAAAAATCGAATGACCAAAACTTTCAGCTAAAACAACAAGTCCACCAGTTCTTTCAATAATCACCTTCATTTTTGCAACTCCAACCTAAGAATATAAAAAAGATTCAGTTAAGAACACAATGATGGAATGAATAGCAGAGTTAAGAGAATGAATGTTGACCTGGTCAAGGGTAGAAGCAAAAAGATCCAAAACATAGCCATGGCTGACCATTTGCTTTGCAAGTTCTTCATAAAACTAAACTACTTTTCTAAAATATAGTGCTGCATCTTTGTCCAGATCTTTATGTGAATGAACAGGATCTGAAAGATCTTCGGAGATAATCTGAAAGAAGATTGAAGGGAGATGGAGGTTTGGTTTAATGGGAAGTAGAAATGATTCAATAGAAAAATCGATATCAAAATGGCTTACTGAACTAGGGCTTCTGTGCAGGGACCTCCGATATCCATGCATTGTCTCTACAACGTCTGCAAACACAAACTTCTCGTGTTCTGCTGACTCACCTCCTACCTTTATGACAATATTATAGTATTGGTTCCGGCTCGACCGGTTCCATGGGGTTTTGGTTCCTCGGTTCCTTTGTTCATCCCTATTGGTGCTTAATCCCCATTACCCATCCCGCCTTCTTGCTCCATATATTCTTCTGCCAAATCAGCCAAAGTCAAATTAAGAAAAAAAAATCTTTCATCAGGAAGAACAACAGATGAAAGCACATATTGTGGCCATGTTTCCATTCCCACTAGACGTCTCACCAGCAACACCATTGACAGCTGCCATTTCACCTTCATTCTTGTTTTTTCGTAGAGATTCTCTAGATGAAAATCTTGTTCTAAAAGAATTTTCACAGCAACATCATGGAAAGCAGTGGAGTTTGTAAAGTTTTAAATGAAAAGACCAAAATACCCTCGTTACATATATAATAATAATAAAAGGAAAAAGGTGTATTACGTACAGAGTCATTCCAATCAGCACGATGAACAATACCAAAAGAACCTGAAAATAAAGATTAAAAACCTCTTATAGGTTCGGTTCTTTAGAGGTTGAAGCTTTGTGCAGTGAAAACTGAAACAGTATAGGGTTCTTTAAAGATTAAAAACCTTTTATATGGTTCTTTAAAGATTGAAGCTATGTACTGGCCTGCATATAATAAACACGATGCGACATTAAAAAATTGATGATTAATAATTGTTGATATTGGGACAACATATATCATACAAAATTGGCCATGGGTTTCTCGAAGTTGAAAATCGCATTATTTATCATTTTTAATTGAATCCAACCCTGGACCTCCCCTCCTTCTTCTTCCATGTTTGTACAGTGCTACTGCAACAAAAAATCAAAGCTATATTAAAAAAAATTAATTGCAAGCTAAATATGGAAGAAAAAAAAACTCAGTGCCAGTTAGTTTTCTTGGCAGCTGAAACCTACAAGGGCGTAATGGTAATTTTCTACCCTAATTAGAAGTGATTGTAAAAAACAAAACTCTCGATGCCAGTTAGTTTGAAACTTGCAAGGGCAATATGGTAATCTCCTTTGCAATTGGGGCTCACCAGTGCAAATGTTCGTCTCGCTGCCTAGTCTGTGAATCGACATCTCCCCTTCACAATTTTGTAAATCGTTAAATTTGAACCATAGTACAGTTCTTGCCTCCTTTAAACTATAAAGAGTCAAACCCCCTGAATTTCCAAATATGAAACCTAATTGCTTAATAAATAAATAAACCAGTATCACATAATCAAACTAAAGCAACCTTTATTAAAGTCAAAACAGATTAAAGTCAAATGTCAAAGTGAATTGATTAAAGTCAAAATACATGCAAAATCGACCTTGAGATCGATTTTGAGAGGCTAAATAAAATCGGAATGCAAAATATGAGAATTAGAGTGAAGATAAAGTTATACGATGTGAAAGGGAAGAAGAATCGCACCTAAACCAAAGTAAACCTCAAATTTCTTGGTAATAAAGCCAGAAACAGGTGGCGGTAGAGGATTCGAAGAAGCAATGGTGCACAGCAGGAGGTGGCGGCAAAGGGAAAAGGAATAAGAGTAGTAAGAGTGATTCAGCATGGGCACTCCAAACTAAACAGGAGGTGGCATTCCATACCAATGAGTGCAAAGCTAGAAGCAACTGGTGGCAAAGCTAGGTGCAGAACCACGGTGAAGTTATAGATGAGGGGAGGTGAAGGTGACAAAGACCGTATACGTTAAGAATCGCTCCCACATCCTTCTTATTGGAGGAGGAAGCAGCTCATCTCCATCTCCAGGAGCACCGTCTCCAATGCAAATCAACCCAAAAAAAGGGTTCGTCTTTGAAGAAAGAATTGTGACGGGTATATAGACGGTGGTATATAGACGCCGACATGAGAAAAGTATGACGAAGATGATGGTGAGGCGGTGTAAAGTAGCTGCAAATGGCCGTATACGTTAAGAATGCCTCCCACTACATTTTTTATTGGAGGATGAAGGGGGTAGAGTGAGAGTAAATAAGAAGAAGTTAAGCTTAAAATAAAATAAAACCCTAGCACGTCCTAGGGTTTGCACAGAAAATAAGATGGCGATGGCTTAGGGTTTGCACAGAGAATAGAGGGAGAGAATGGAAGGAGATGAGGATAGAGTGGAGAAGCGGGCACTTAAAATTTTTAGAATTTTAAAGATTTTTCATTTTCCCCCCTTAAAAACGCGCGTCTAATTAAAAAATTAAAAAGCGACATTTCTAGATGACACACATTTAACACAAGTGCCCTCCGTGTTTGTAATTTTTTTTGTTTGACATTAATTTTAGGGCATGCACAAATGCATGCCCTCTACCCTTCACATTTTGCAAATCTGACATTATTTTTTAGGGCACAGACGAATGCACGTCGTCTATCAGCGCATGTCATTGTTTGCGCGTCATTAAAGGGCTGTTTTCTAGTAGTGTACTCTTAAAGCATCCATCTGAGCGGCTAGGAATGTAGGGACCCAAATTAAGGAGAAGAGTCTGGAAAGAGCTAAGATGGGAGAGAAAGTGAAGTTTGAGGAATCTTCAAGGTCCGAAAAAAGGAGTAGGTCTTAAATGTCCCGCCCCAACAACAAGAGGCCTGGGGATATCAATGATGCAAAGTGGTGTGAGAAGTGTAGGGAGAAACATTTTGGGAGATGAACCAATGAGGTGACTCGCTTCAACTGTGGAAAGATCGGTGTATACGCTAGAAACTATAACGAAACCATGAGTTACAAATGTGGACAAAGCAGGGCATCTCAGGAATGCCTGCCCAAATAAAAACATAGCTGCAAAGAAGAATGTGTCATTGAAGCTGAATGCAAGAGCGTTCCAGATGATCCTTGATGGAGTAGATGTCGTTGCAAGAGATCAAGAATAGGGAACAACTTATCTGGAGTCGAAGATATGAAGTAGTTAAATAGATAATACTATATTATGTGGCCTAGTTTAAGACGCATAGAGTATGATGAAGTTAAATAGCAATGTAATCGACTTCAAGAAGTTATAAAACCCCTAATTATGTATATAATATTCAATGTGTTAACTTGCAATGTGATTTTCTTGTACGGTGACTTGGAGAACCGTGAGACAATTGTTGAGACGAGTATGTGTAGGTGTGAAAGGTTGTAGAGGTCTTTACTACCAAAAGCACATGATTCACGCTTAGATTAGGGAAGTTCAGAGGGTTACTAAGGCACTAGTAGTTAAGTCTCTCTTGAATCATAAAGAAGAGATCATTACCCGGGATCCACCAGCTTTTCATATCAAAATTGTTTGATATCACAGAATCCCACACATTAAATTTGCTTTATTTATTTTTCTTTAGCACACTCTGACACTAAAATCCTTGTGATTTCACAAAGTCTGGTTACTGTTTCGATTGGTCACTTTAATTCAGAAGAGTGGATCTTGCTCGTAATTCTGATGGATATTGTTCCCGCTACTGCAAGTCTAAACGATATATTAATGATTTCAAAACTAGAGATTCCAAAATTCCCTTTTCCCATAAATTCAAATTCAAATAAAGGCGTGACTTTTGGATTTCCTGACATCAGCATTTCTGTTACAACGGCCGCTGACACATGATTGATGAGTTGGCGCTTTATTATTGGTTAATTTTCGGCACTACAAGAACATGAAACAACATTTTATATCTCCACTCATAATCTTCCATATAAAAGGCTTTCAAACTGTTCATTTACCTTCACCGCAAACACAACTCTCAAATTTTCAAAGCAAAAATTGCTCTCGCTCTCTACTATTCATCCTCACTCTTAAAACATCAATGGCCGCTTCATCAGAGCAAGTTTCATTCGCTGATCAATCTGCATCCATGATCATGTTGACTATTAAGCCATACCAAAATATTATAATCAACCCCGATGCTTCTCACTATGATGCCCCAGTCAGGACCATGATTGAATGTCTCAAGTTCTCGCCACTGATGAAGGCATTAACAATGGTTGAAGAAGTTCCACTAGTTCATCTCTTCAAGGCCTTCTCCACTTCCATCTACAACAAAACTGGAGAAATTATCAACTTAGAGGTTGCAAACCACAATACCTCCATCAAAAAAAACTAATTTCTATAAGCTGCTAAGGCTTGAATCTTCAAATGTGGGTATTGACCCATAATCAATTCTAAAGACAGGCCTGATAAAGATGTTCTACTAGATGGGTACATCGGCGACATATCTTTATTGTCCAAGTTTAGGAAATCCTTTTTGCCCCCGATGTGGAATTGGTTATTTACCCTATTATTTAAAAGCCTGTCAAAAAGGGTTTCTGGTTTTGACAGTGCAAGCAACCTATTCTACACTATGATCTATGGGTTATACCATGGCATAAACCTTGACTATAAGTTTGTTCTTTGGGATCAATTCATTCAGAGCACTAGTTCTTCAACATGACACACAAAGAATTCATGTGTCGGGTTCTGGTCTATTGTTGTAAATTGAGCCCTAACTCACTTCAAGGTCTCTATGATGCAACACTCTCTAATGGTTGAAATTTTGATGCTCCAAACGACTACATTCGTCATGTCGGATCCATGAAACTTTCAAGTTGTTGGCTCAATCCCAAATGCATTGCTGGAAAAGTTCCTAAAGATAATGCCATTATTAGGGCTTATTGAAAAATGTCCTCTCTTGGTGTTCGTCCCATCCCAATAGAATTACAAAAGATCATAAATGAAGGTGATAAACCTAAGAGGGGAGGGAAAAGGAAAGCAAATGCTATTACTTCAGAAAGCGTCAAAATTCCAATGAGGGCAACGAAACTGTTCCAAAAACTGAGATCTGCATCTCCAATAATTCAAGAGGAATCCAAAGAGAGAATTGTTAGTGAAGTTTAGGAGGATAACACTCTCAGAAATGAAGAGGAAGATACAGTTACAACTTCCGAACCCACCAATACTAAAAATATTATGAATGTATCTTCTCCTCCATCTCTTCCATTCCGGAAACAAAGATTTTTGACAATATTATGCAAAATCCATTTCTGAATCTCATCACATCTCCACCTCCACCTCCATTCGCTCCACCAACATCACAAATGACAACCTCACCAATCACCTCCATAATTCCGATAACAATCATCCCTCCTTTACCATCTACGAGTTTTATTAAAACATCACTTCCTCAAGTCTTAATCTCACTTTCCTCACCCATCTTCATGGACTCAACAATTCCAAAAACATCAACGGTTTCTACTCCACCAGAAGTTCCGAGAATCAAATCCGTTTTGGAGGAGATTTGCACTTCTGGCATCCCTAGAAACACATCTGATGTGGGGCCAAATGCTACCATTGGTGTGACTTCCAAACAACCTTCCTCTTCGGTTCCTCTGGAACATAACGATGCTAACATCTTGTTTGGAGATGATCCTGAATCGATTGTAAATTTTGTATTTCATCCATTATCTGTAAATTTAACCAGTGATGATGATGTAGCGGCTATGAAGAAAGGTAATTCAAGCAGTTGAATAAGAAGCTTGATTCAATCTTGGAGTATTTACAAGCCTTATCTTCCATGAAATGGGAAAATTTGCTAACCACTGAACAAACAACTATGGAAATGCTCACATCTTCTAATACCAAAGTCATTGAAGAAGCAACAAAAGGTAGCCCACGCTTCAAAAAAGAGAATCTTAGAAGCTACTGAAAAGGTTCCGTAGTTGTAAATAGAAGTTAAGGAATTCATGGCTGACTTCAGGACCTCTTCTGAAAAAAGTATTGTAGACATGAACAAGGTCATAGAAGGTTTTAGATCTTATTTGAAAGCCGAAAAATAAGCTCTTTCAACTCTCCATGATAATATTAAACTTGACAATGTTGATCTCAATACAACCATCACTTAG